AGTGTGAAAAATGGGCTCACGTGATTTAATAAAATACACAATCAAGAGAGGGCTTTCTTTCCTGCAGCATCAGTGTTCAATACAAAATAATCCCTAGTGTTCCCCATATTCCATCCATCCATCTTCTCCCGCTTATCCGTGGTCGGGTCGCGGGGGGTAGCAGTTCCAGCAGAGAGCCCCAAACTTTATTTTCCCTGGCGACATCAACCAGCTCTGACTGGGGGATCCCAAGGCGCTCCCAGGCCAGCGAAGAGATATAATCCCTCCACCTGGTCCTAGGTCTACCCCTTGGTCTCTTCCCAGCTGGACGTGCCTGGAACACCTCCCTAGGGAGGCGCCCAGGTGGCATCCTAACTAGGTGCCCGAACCACCTCAACTGGCTCCTTTCGACGCGAAGGAGGAGCGGCTCAACTCCGAGTCCCTCCCTGATGACCGAACTTCTCACCTTATCCCTAAGGGAGACGCCAGCCACCCCTGCGGAGAAAACCCATCTCGGCCGCTTGTATCCGCGATCTCGTTCTTTCGGTCATGACCCATCCTTCATGACCATAGGTGAGGGTAGGAACGAAAATGGCCCGGAAGACCGAGAGCTTTGCTTTCTGGCTCAGCTCCCTTTTCATCACAACGGTGCGGTAAAGCGACTGCAGTACCGCTCCCGCTGCTCCGATTCTCCGGCCCATCTCACGCTCCATTGTTCCCTCACTCGAGAACAAGACCCTGAGATACTTGAACTCCTTCACTTGGGGTAAGGACTCATTCCCTACCTGGAGTGGACAGTCCATCGGTTTCCTGCTGAGAACCATGGCCTCAGATTTGGAGGTGCTGATCCTCATCCCAGCCGCTTCACACTCGGTTGCGAACCGATCCAGTGAGTGCTGAAGGTCGCAGACCGATGAAGCCATTAGAACCACATCATCTGCAAAAAGCAGTGGTGCAATCCTTAGTCCACCGAACTGCAGACCCCCTCCCCCATGACTACGCCTCGAAATCCGATCCATGTATATTACAAACAGGATTGGTGACAAAGCGCAGCCCTGGCGGAGGCCAACCCTCACCGGAAATGGGTCCGACTTACTGCCGAGGACCCGGACACAGCTCTCGCTTTGGGAGTACAGAGATTGGATGGCCCTGAGTAGAGACCCCCTCACCCCATACTCCCGCAGCACCTCCCACAGTAACTCCCTGGGAACTCGGTCATACGCCTTCTCCAAGTCTACAAAACACATGTAGACCGGATAAGCGTACTCCCAGGCCCCCTCCAGGATCCTTGCGAGAGTAAAAAAGCTGATCCGTCGTTCCACGACCAGGACGGAATCCGCATTGTTCCTCCTCAATCTGAGGTTCGACAATCGGCCTGACCCTCCTTTCGAGTACCTTAGAGTAAACTTTCCCGGGGAGGCTGAGTAGTGTGATGCCTCTGTAATTGGCACACACCCTCTGATCCCCCTTTTAAATAGGGGAACCACCACCCCGGTCTGCCACTCCTTCGGTACTGTTTCCGACTTCCACGCAACGTTGATGAGACGTGTCAACCATGACAGTCCCTCAACACCCAGAGCCTTCAGCATTTCCGGGCGGATCTCATCCACCCCCGGGGCTTTGCCACTGTGGAGTTGTTTGACGACCTCAGTGACCTCCCCCCGGGAGATTGGTGTTGATCCCCCGTCATACTCCAGCTCTGCCTCTAACATAGAGGGTGGAGTTGTCGGGTTCAGGAGTTCCTCAAAGTGTTCCTTCCAACGCCCTAACACTCCATCAGTTGAGGTCAACAACGTTCCATCCTTACTGTACACAGCTTGGATGGTTCCCTGCTTCCCCCTCCTGAGGTGTCGGACAGTTTTCCAGAACAACTTTGGTGCCGCCCGAAAGTCCTTCTCCATGTCTTCTCCGAACTTCTCCCACACCCGCTGCTTTGCCTCGGCCACGGATGAGGCTGCTGCCCTTCGGGCCTGTCGGTACCTTGCAACTGCCTCGGGAGTCCCCCGGGATAACAAATCCCTGAAGGCCTCCTTCTTCAGTCGGACGGCTTCCCTGACCACCGGTGTCCACCAGGAGGTTCGAGGGTTACCGCCCCTTGAGGCACCTAGGACCTTGAGACCACAGCTCCCCGCCGCGGCTTCGGCAATAGAGGCTTTGAACACCGACCACTCTGGTTCAATGTCCCCAACCTCCACAGGAATGCCCGAAAAGCTCCGCCGGAGGTGTGAGTTGAAGGCCTCCTGAACTTGGGGCCTCCTCCAGACGTTCCCAGTTCACCCGAACTACACGTTTGGGCTTACCAGGTCTATCCAGAGGCTTCCCCCGCCACTCGACCCAACTCACCACCAGATGGTGATCAGTTGACAACTCCGCCCCTCTCTTTACCCGAGTGTCCAAAACATACGGCCTCAGGTCCGATGATACGATAACGAAATCGATCATGGACCTTCTGCCTAGGGTGCTCTGGTACCACGTACACTTATGAGCATCCTTATGTTCGAACATGGTGTTTGTTATGGCCAATCCATGACTAGCACAGAAGTCCAGTAACAAACCACCACTCCGGTTCAGATCAGGGGGGGCCGTTCCTCCCAATCACGCCCCTCCAAGTGTCTCCATCATTGCCCACATGTGCGTTGAAGTCTCCCAGCAAGATTAAAGAGTCCCCTTCAGGAGCCCCATACAGGACTCTTTCCAGGGTCTCCAAGAAGGCCGTATACTCTGAACTGCTGTTGGGTGCATAAGCACACACAACAGTCAGAGTTTTCCCCCCCATAACCCGCAGGCGTAGGGAGGCGACCCTCTCGTCCACTGGGGTAAACTCCAACAAAGAAGCACCTAACCGGGGACTTGTGAGTATCCCCACACCCGCCCGGCGCCTCACACCTTGAGCAACTCCGGAGAAGAATAGAGTCCAACCCCTATCCAGAAGTAAGGTTCCAGAGCCGACGCTGTGCGTAGAGGTGAGCCCAACCAGATCCAACTGGTAACGCTCCACCTCCCGCACAAGCTCCGGCTCCTTCCCCCCCAGAGAGGTGACGTTCCACGTCCCCAAAGCCAGCTTCTGTCGCCCGGGTCTGGTCCGTCGAGACCCTCCGCTTTCACTGCCACCCTTCTGGCAGCGCACCCGACCCCATTGATGTTTCCCGTAGGTGGTGGGCCCGCGGGACGGAGAAGCGGAGGTGTTGCCCACGTTGCCTTTTCGGGCTGGGCCCGGCCGGGCTCCGTGGCAAGCCTGGCCACCAGACGCTCGCCGACGAGTCCTCCTTCTGGGCCTGGCTCCAGAAGGGGACCCCGGGCTTCCTCCGGGCCGGGTATCCTCACTTCTTGTATCGTCTTTCATGAGGTCCCCATATTATTATTTTTAATGTATAGTAGGGGGAAATTATACCGTAAATATATATTCAGTTGACAGTTTATTAGGTACAACTAGCTAATAGTAACAAAGTCGAATACAGTGATGCAATAAATCCTACCCTTATGAAGGTTATAATGTTCAGTTTTTTTCTTCTTTTTTGTAGATTATAATAAATGAAATGTATGTCAACTGATTGGTTATTTTGGAGGCTCAAGTTTCTGGTGCTGTAACAAAGTGCAATAGGCATTTATTTAAAACCACATTATGCACAAAACATTGGGTTATTTCATGTGATATGTCACTGTGTATTTTTCAGCAAACAGATTGCTGAGATAGCTAAGGCAATTTGGGGTAATGGATAACATTTCTCTGTTCTTGTCATCAGGTGGAGCAGTCTGATGGTCCAGATATGGATGACATTACATGTCACTTGTTAGACGCTTTTATCCAAAGCGACTTACATACTCAATACTGTGGGCAATCCCCACAGGAGCAATTTGGGGTGAAGTGTCTCAGGGACACAACGACATGCTGACTGCAGTGGGGTTTGAACCTGTGACCTCCTGATCCGAATACCAACTCACAACCCACAACCCACTGCACCACAGGCCTCCCTGACATAGCAGATGGACTTCCCTTGATCAGTGCCAATTCAACAAAAACCACGCTCTTCTGCCCAGGGAGGATCGCTGTTGTGCTTCAGGGTAACAGAGTTATCGAACTCCCAACATTGGCTTATGCATTTGTACTGCTTTTTGCACTGATCTTTACCCTGCATCGGAGTTACCCAAAAGACTTGGCCAACACCTTTGACTTTACCCAGAAAGTCTTGATGGGCCTGGATGAGGGGAACTTGAGGCCCAGGGGGTTGAGCTTTAAAAATGACCTTTTGGCAGTGTATTAATCTCACTCTATGAACAACAAAGTTGCACTTTAACAGTCATTACAGAGCATTGTATGTATTTTTATTTTACAACAAAGCATTTTTGAAAGTTTTGTTATTGGACTTTTGAAGTTGTGTTGAGCTGAAACTTGAAGGAGTAGATGTGTAAAAAATATATATATATATTATTTGGTAAATGGTTTATTGTCACGTAATAAAACAGTGATTTGCATTTAAATTGTCAGTGCTTAATAATGTATACTGAAAAATGTTAACTTGGGGATTTTGAGTTACAGTTACCTGAAAATATTTATGTAATCGGTTTCAAACTACAGACCAATCAGCATCCTCCCCTGTGTCTCTAAGATAGCTGAGAAATGGGTGTCAAAACTAATCACCAAACATTTAGATAAAGGTTTCACTCTACTCCACCCAATGCAGTTTGGTTTTCGACCCCTCCTGAATAAGCCCAGTTTAATCTGATTGGCTTGCAAGAAGAACAACGGAGCACTTTTGCTAACGTACTTCTCAAGCCATGGGTGGATATTCTTAGATAGTATAATCTGTAATTGGGTCATCTTATTTCACAGTTTGCAGGCTCCATAAACAAAAGTATATGCACTGAGTAAATGCGTTTTTTCACAATACGTCCCCTTTAAATCGTGGTGTAATGGTACATTTATGACATGTTATTACACTATCATGCTTGACTAATGTAGAATCCTTTATAGCATTTATATCAGCTGATGAGATCAGACAACTCAATAAAGGAGATATTACCTGAAATATCCCTGTTAACTCCCAGGGCCATGCCATCCCGCAGCCACAGCACCATGCCGTGGTACCCGGGGATGGTGCAGGGCAGGGTCACCGGGTGTCCCGCCACCACAACCAGGTCTGTGGGTTGTTGGGTGAACACCGCAGAGCTCCCTGGAAATGCAAAAACAGTAAACCCATTAGTCAAACATATACAATAAACACCAAATGACACACATTGCAAATTAGCTAGCAAGTGGTGAAGCCAACACAACATTAGCAAACTCAAATGTGGAGAAATGTAATAAAAACATATATGAAAATGACCAAAAACAATCTAATTTCAGATGGAACGATTCTACTGTTATGAAGCAATACTTTCAAATAAAGCATGCAAATTAGACCACAGAGAGCTGCAACTGAAATTGGAGCAAATCAATTGTTTTGTATCCTTAAGTGGTAAAATATTACTGTATTTTGTATAACTTGCTGATCTGTCATCCCCGTGCAGCACATAAATCAACACTTCATGTGTAAAAGCAGGTGTAACAGAAGTTTTGTTGGGACATGGGAGTGTTATTAACAACTCATAACCCAGTTTCAGAGGCATGTTGAAAGGCCCCCCGCTGGCCATATGTTAGGTCAGTAAATTGCCTGCAGCTACAAGATATCGTTAGCCCTGAAATTGCGATATTTTTTTACAATATTTGTTTTTATCAAATATTTCCCGCAGTTTTCTTTGATTTTAATCTCCAGGCTTCTCCTTTCATATTTAACATGTACATTCCAATACCAAGGCAAGGCAAGAGTCTTCAGCCATGAAAAGGCTCTGCGAGGCTCAAATGATAGATCTACCAAACTGATAGATTAAACAAAGTAGTAGTCAGATTGAAAGGATCACCTGATGAGGGTTTGCTAGATAGAAAGTTGGCATATCACCAAGATAATGAATGTTATCACCAAACTGAAAAGTATTTCCGTTCACAAGTGGATACCACAAATGCATAAGAATTCATCCTTTTAGCACCTTGCAAAGATTCCATGACTATATACTCAATAGATGTAGACCAACGTGGTGGACTGACAGTCAAACCAGTGCCTTTCTGCTGTCTTAAAGGGGACCTATCATGCAAAATGCACTTTTGTACATCTTTTATACATGAATATGTGTCCCCGGTGTTCCAGGGAACTCACCAAGTGTCAGAAAACACAACCCTCTCTCTTTTCCTCCATACCCAAATCTCTAAAAACGGGGCTGCAACGGATCTGATACAGACTGATACAGATTTGAATTATTTTCTACGTCACATAAGTGGTGCTCCGCTTAGTGGTCAATTCTCCACCTATCAGGGGAATGAGAGGTTGGGCCACGGCCGGCCATTGCCGCTCGAAAGCGCTGGAGACGCTGTAGTACATATGCCAGGCCTGTAAGTGGCGCTGTAGTCTGCCACAAAAGCAGCGAAGAAGACTTCCCTTGCATGGTTGCCATGGTTGCCCTTCTGTTTATTCTCCACTGTGGCTCTTTTTCTCCCTCACCGAGGCAAGCGTTTGCTCCCGCTGCTGTTATTCATTGCAATCCCTCCCTCGCTGTAATTCTCTCCGGTAGTCCACCAGCAGATGACAAACTCCCACCTCTCCGCCTCTTCCAAGGAACGAGGGGACCGTGCAGCAGAGTTTCAGTTAGATTTTTTTTCGCCTGTCAACATGTCCGTTAAAGTTTAAATCTTCCGGACAAAATTAGAAAAGTGCCGGTCAAAGGTCTTCTTTGTTATTTATTGAGCTTTAAAACAAATGAATAATGACTCTATATAATCATATAAGAATAAAACATGGAGGACGGAGATCTCTTTTTCTCCCCCTCTTCTCCCCGCTGCAGCCGAGCAGCTGATCTCAAAGCACTCTCCCCTCTCCTGCAGGGGGGCGTGGTCAGCTGCAGCTCACAGAATCAGCCCCCTGCAAAAAACAGGGCTGGAGAACAGCAAATAGAGCGAAATGAGGCATGGCTAAAATGCAGGATCTGTTTGGTATTTTGAAAAAAAAACTATATTTATATACTTTATATAGGTATGGCCCTACAATATATTGTTCAAATATAGCATGATAGGTCACCTTTAAAAGAAACCAAAACAGCTAAACAATTAAATAAGTAAATTACAAGGAGTACATTAAAGGTACAATGACCTTTGTGTAATGAAAAACGTATGCAATATCAATTATTATTCTTCTCCTGGCGAGCTTGATCATTTCTAAGAGAGGATTCTGCACACGAAGAATGTCAGAATGTTTCAAAACTAAATAAGAGCAAGGGGACATCAACTATTGTGAGGTCAGAGGCAAATACTGATGCAATTGACACATTTTACTAATCATTTGCTCTTCTAATTATGATAATACATTCCATTATCACTTCTATAGGAACAACCTTATCAAGTGGCTGTTTTAAATGTTTCACCTTCAATATCCCTGTTTAATCCTGAGATCCCAACCCTGTTGCAGCCAAGAAGGCCAAACAGCTGTTCCTGCTTTAAGGAAGTCATGTCTTATACGATCCAACAGTGATCCCACTGACTGAAGACTTGTGCATGATTCTTGGAGGATTCTCACATGTTGCTTACACATTGCAAGCAGTGCGGTCCACATTGCCCAAACCTTTAACAACAGGATCTGCAGCGCTGCCATGAAAATGAAAAAGAGACTTCTGCGATGCTAACAGGGTTCAGTTAGCTGTGTCTGCCATCAGTGCTCGAGGTAGAACATATAGAATGATGCGTACAATTAGATTTGTATTAGGGCATTTTTCAGACATTCTGGGGTTGGCTTGGTCCAACATGGTGGCCCGGTTTGAGCCGATCTGTCCATCTTTCCCTCTCAGCAAGCAGCAGGATCTCCGCTCACCCCAATTGGCCAGGGTGAAGGAGCAGTGGCAGCTTCTACCGGATCTTGTTGAGTTCAAAATTGAAAGTTGGTTGGATGCCAGCCATTAGCATGTTTGGCACAGCTCAGGGATTGAGGGGAGTTCTGAGCGGGCCCAGAATTGAGCTCGGCTGCCTGCATGGAGAACGGGTCAGGGCAGCAGCAGAGAAGGGGTCTTCAAAAGGGCAACAAGAGGAGCAAGAGCCAGGATAAGAGTATTGAGTGAGGAATCGCTGGGCTTCTAAATGTTTTGTAGTTATATTAATAATTCATCTTATTCCTTTAATTTGACTTTATTGTCTTTCTTAGTTGGTGATAGCCAAACACATGTTGTCATCCACTGAATAAAAGCTGATAGATTAGATAGTATGATGTTACAACATCACGTGTGAGGTTAATATAATTACCACATGCATGTAAATGAAAGTGGGGGAACAATTATTTAAGTAACGCAACTATCCATAGTCTTACAGTCATTGTCTTTAGCATTGTGTGATTGAAAATATGATGTTCATTGAACTTATCAGTAAGACCAATAAACACACAGAAATCAAATAAGTTGGGTGTGGCATTGACATGGACCTCTTTTCTAAAGAACTCAACGGTTTTTCAAGTGGATTTTCAGACTCAATTACTACCAAAGCTGCTCTATGAAGCCGTATTTTCTCTGTTATCAGTGAGTCATGGATGGTTGATTCATTCACTTGTATGCCCCCCACACATCCATCCATGAGCCAAAAAACACAATCAGACTAACAGTGTGTGGGGCTTTGATTTTCAAACCCTATGTATCTGAACAATCAAGCCTGTGACATTTTAAACAGGGGTTTGGCACACAAACATGGTACAGGAGATCAGCATGGAAGTAGCAAACAGTGTCAATGGTGATTCCAGTGGGGGGGAATCTATATATGTGCATGTCTGTGTCTCTTTCTATCAAACAGTGTTTGTACAGCTCTATGGGAGCGCTGTAATGTGACAATCTAACCTCGTCTTGCGCTTCGCAACAGTACGTTTGCACAGCAGGGCAGGCACTAATGGGAGGATGAATGGAACAAATGTTTCTCATCATTACATCTCCCAGCTTCTCTGTGGGGGACAACCATCTCAGACAAATCAAAATAAATAGATTTCTTTGCTGACATTTTGACCCCCCCTCCCCCCATTTGCCTGGAGGTGTCAGCCATTCAACATTGATTTGAGGCAACAGATAGGTGCTTTGCACAAAGATCGATTACACAGTTTTTGTCCAATAGTTGATGAAGAGACTGTTGACAGTTTAGATGTGAGCAATTTAGAAATGAACTACTGCAGCATGGTATTTCCTAAACAGGACAGCCACTTGATGCAGAATTACTCAAATGTAACCTGATGTTCTCAGCTGTGTTCTTTTTACAAAAGTGTGCAAAGAGTGGGACCCTTAATTAATTGTTTTTCAAAGTCAGTCGTGGGTAGAGCAGTAATTAAAAGGTAATTTTGAGAGTTGTACATGTGGTGAAAATGAATAAGGTTAAAGGGCATGTGGATGTAGAGAGTTAACACAGAAACAAGTACAGATCATCTGTTTCTGCTAATAATTAAATACAGTCAAATGCTAAAATACCTGAATGTAATAAAAACATTGAACCTCAAAGTCTTAATTAAGCCTCAGACACTATTAGTATGTTGCTTTCTGCCAGCCATTGATGAAGGAATCAAGGCTTTCCTTGGTGGATTTACTGAAACGCAATTAAGGTTTTGAGAGCCCCTTAATGCCCAGAAAACTGAAACAGGGATGAGGAGCATTTGGCAGCTTTATGCCACAGTGGTCCATGAAAGGTCTACTGGGGAGATGAACATGTGTTCCTTAAACAGCTTTAGCAATTTAGCTAAATAGTGCTGAGAGCGGAGAAGTCTCATTATGGTTAGCAGAGACCGCCTTCCTTTCAACTCTGTGGAGAGACTCAGCAAGGAGCTCCAGCACAGTAGAGGACAGTTACAGAGCTCTGCTTACTGTACGGCGGCATTCAACTCAATGTATTATACACACATGTTGAATGGGAAATGTGTTTGTTTGAGGGAAACTTTGTCAATTTTAACCAGCTATCGTTGCAATGTGTTCCATGTAAATCCGATCTCCTGTTTTCAGCTCAGTCAAATTAATGGAGAGAAAATATAACTCTGGATTCAGCTTTAGGTGCATATTCCAACTTTAATACCCTAATACGTTAAATAAGGGCTATAAGAGTGTTCATACTTCATTTACAGACGTCTACCCAAAT